AAACGACGCATGCGTATGCCTTTTGTGATGCGTCGCAGAAACCGTGTAATTCGACTCGGTCTGTTGCGCCAGAGCCTAACCATCGTGGTATTTCAATAGTATTTATTTGTGTAATGTCGCTTTTTATTGATTCCCATTCATGATAAATCTCCTCCGGGAGCTTGTCATCCCATGTCATGCTAGTCTTCCAGACTTGTTGAAAAAGGAGCTTTAACTTCGTTGAGAGTGGGGTCAACCAACCCAGCGGGTCATATAATTGTGAAATGGCGGACAATAGAGACCTCTTCGTATTTTGTTTTTTCTGGATGTCAATTTTGCATTGAAAGGTGAACACATCTTGACAAGGTTTCCATATTAAGCCCAGTGTTTTTGTGGACTCAATTGTCTTGAAATTATAGTTATCTTGCTCTTTATTTGTTTGTTGTTTTTCTTCTTTGTTTGTTTTTTCTACTAAATCTTGATAGTTGGAGCTCCACTTTCTTAAGTTGAAACCGCCACTTTTTAGTAGATCAATTAAATCTTGTTTCAATTTTATGGCACCTTCCACAGTATAACTGCCATAAATTAAATCGTCCATATAGAAGTTATTTTCGAGCACTTGTGCGGCTTCTGGATAATTTTCTCTCTCGTCGCTTGCTAATTGATGAAGTGTCATCATTGCGAGAAAGGGTGCGGCCTTGGTGCCGTACGTCACTGTCGCTAGCTGGTAGACTCGCATCTGTTCATTTTGGTTTTCTCGCCATATGATTTTTTGAAGTGCTTGATCATCTTCATGTAACCATATTTGGCGGTACATTTTTTCTATATCGGCGATGAAAGCTACTTGAAATTGCCTCCATACTAAAATCAGATGTAAGATATCTTTCTGTAAGTTAGGCCCCTTACACATGCAGTCATTGAGGCTTAATCCGCTTGATGTCGTTTCTGATGCATTGAATACTACACGGTGTGTCGTAGTACTAGAGTCCGCTCGTAGCACGCAATGGTGTGGTAAGTAGCAATTTCGTGTCACGTTTTCGTAGCTGCTGTTTACAAGTTGCATATGACGTAATACTTGATACTCGTGCATAAACGAGCAGTACGCTATCTTCATCTCTTCATTTTTATAAAATTTTCTTTCTAATTGTTGAAATTGTGCGACAGCTTTGTATTTTGATTGTCCTAATTGATCGATATTAGATTTAAGTGGCAGTCTCACTGTATATCGTCCGTCGGCTGACCTTGTTGTCGTCGACTTATAAAATTCTATGCATTTATTTTCTTCGGTTGAATATGGATTATTTTCAGATAAATCTTCTATCTCCCAAAATCGCTGCATTTCTTCTAAATTATTAATAATGACGTTGCATTGCAGGGTTTGTATTTTTCCACACAAAATCCACCCTAGCTGCGTTTGTTGTGCAACCAGGTTATTTGTTCTGTAAATTCCTTCCATAATTATACTTGTGTAGGCATCAACCCCTAACAAAATGTCAATGGGCTTGCTTACATTGAAGTCAGGGTCGGCTAATTTTATTTTTTGAATAAATTCCCATGCTGGTTTAGGAAATGAGTCATTAGGCAAGTTTCTTGTCAAACTTTTTATAATGTAAACATCTGCTTGGAAGGTATAATTTTCAGAGATCGAGCTGCACTTGACGTTTGTCATCTCTGTACAGGCATTGTCCTTGATGCCAACACCTGTTATGATGCCTTTAGATTTGCGACGACGTAAGCCCAATATATTGGCAGCCTTGGTAGTGATTATGGATACTTGAGACCCTTGATCGATGAGTGCCCGCATTGTCTCATATTTTCCGTCAAATCTTTGTATTTTAACCAGAGCTGTAGGTAACAAAATCTCTGGAATGTCACATTGCTGCGCCACGTGACTCGTGAATTTTGTTGCTCCATCGCTAGGTGTCATATTATTTTTTGCATATGCAGAATGTAAAATGGTGTTATGACTTCCGTTGCACTCGCGGCATCGCTTGTTCGATGTACATGAAGTGCTACGATGATCCAATAGACAATTGATGCAAAGATTTAATCTTGTTATAGTTTGGCGTTTTTGATAGGGTGACATATCCAGAAAATTCTTACAAAAATATATTCCATGTTCAGTACTGCTACATATGGGACATTTTACTCGGCATCTTGTATTTGATTGAGCAATGGCTTTGTTGCTTGAAAAATGTTTCACGTTGTATGATTTTTCTAATCTGTTCGGTACTAATGGTCTCTGTTGGTAGCTTTCCTGCTTACGGCGCGCTGATTCCATTGTAGTAAATTTATTCTCGAGAAATGTCATAAAATCTTTCAAATTAGGTATCTCTCGCGGCTCTTTCAAGGACTCCAAATAATCATTATGAGTTTCCGCATCCAATTTCTGTGACAAAATGTAGACCAAAATTGGATCCCACGTGTTTATATTAATACCTAAATTCTTGATGGCATTTAGGCACTCCGTGGTGATGTCATGTAACCTTTTTATGTGATTGGCGTTACTTTGTTGTGTAACGGGAAGATTCATCATCGTGTTCATGTGTGTTGTAAATATTAATTTCTTGTTATTATATCTGTGGTTAAGGATTTCCCAACTTGTAATATAATTTTCAGAGCTAATCTGTAGATGTTGAATCAAACGCTCAGCCTCACCTTTGATCTTGCTTTTGAGGAACTGCATTTTCTGGGCGTTTGAGAGAGAATGATTACGGTGAATTGCCTCAGTAAACAAGTCTTTGAACGAAACCCATTGTTGGTATTGGCCGTTGAATACGGGTATATCGAGCTGAGGTGTCGATTTTTCTCTGTGTGAAACCGACCATAGTTTGGTGTTGATCGCTTTTTTGATCTCGTAATATTTTTGCTCGTTATGCGTGAACTTCGCCTCATATTGTAGGTTTGATTCATCCAATTCACTATCTATTTCCCAATGCAATAGATCTATCGCTTTCCACCTGTCTTGTAAAGTCTTAAGCGTATCTTCAAATTCCCATTTCTCTTGCATGGTGTCAATATTTATGTTGCTAACAGTCCGCGCAAACGCCTTGAAGTTGCTGAGCTGCTTTTTTAACATTTCATCCAATCTACTGTTGCTACCAGTGTTTGTTTTACACTCATTATTCCAGTCGAAGGTTCTTGCTTGCGTCGTTCTTCCGTGTGTTATAAGAGTGTCCTCATCGTTGTTCAGAGGCTGTAATAATTGTATATTACGAGACGTAGTTGGCTTTTCACCTTCAAAATTCCTACTTTCATGCGTCTTGCTGGGTTGCAGTGCTGCAGGAGACAGTTTTGAAGTGCCGCCGAAGCTTTCTTCTTCAATATATAGTTTGACTTCTAAATACACTTGTTCGGTTTTCTTGTAACAATCCCCAACGAAATAATCATCATCAGATGTTAAGAACTGCGTCAGTTTCTCATGATTCGCTTTAAATTCGTTCCAAAGACTGTCTAATGTCACCAGACGTCTCTTGATAAGATCTGGTGTTCGACGTGTAGGACCATCTTTCTTAAAGTTGATTAGAACCTTCTTGATTTGTTCTACTAGTAAGTCTTGTTGATAAAGTAGGTCATTCACATCCATGGTAATGTAAATACGCGAGTAAACTTGATAAAAAAATAACTTGAAGCTTGCTAAATATAACTTGTAATATAAATGTTGTTTACTTAGGTACCTTTCTTGTTAATAAAATGTTCAAATGTGCACAAACTTGATTCTGTATGTGGGTTTGTATTTCACAACAAAACTTCCACACTTGTTACTTGTTGTAATGCTTGATGCTTGCTGGTTCCTGATAGGTTAGCGCCTAATGTGCTCACGAGTGCTATATGCGCCTTCTCAATCCAGCCGGTGAGACCCGCTTGTGGGAGGCCGACTGTACCGATTCGCTAACACTCGAAAAACACAAAAAGACCACTAACTCGCTGCTCGAAGGACCAATGTTCGCGTCTTGTTCTTGCTACACAAACTATCTTGATAATAATGTTGATAAATAAAGAATCCTTGTTGATCTTAAAAATGGTATTTATTTCGTTTACTTGATTACAAAATAAAACACGCGCTTGCTTATGACAATGCCTTGATTGCAAATGTGCAGAAATTATAACTAAATATAAAAACATAAAAATATAAAAATGCTGACGCGGTAACATACTTAATGTGCGGTATTAACCGTACAAATAGAATTATAGATAACAGATTCGCGTTAGAATTTTCGCTATGTTGCCGCTCTGATCACGTAACGTAATAATAGTACGAGTAAGTGATGGGTAACCCTGCCACTTCACGCACATATTTGGGCGTGTGCAGATAGCGCCTTGCTGTATGTAGTAGTAGGTAAATAACTTTCGACCGTTGTATGGAGTGTCCGGGGTGTGACTTGGACGCAAATGTTGGTGCTCTAGTATTATGTGACTGGTCAGCGTTTACAATGATAAAAATATGTAAGTTCATGTAAATGAGACCAAGGACCAAAAGAGTTAAACGTTAAGAAAATTTTAGCTTGCAAATTATAATGTTGTTGTAATGCAATTTGGAACTCAGCGTCCATGATAATTAGTGGTGGGGTAATCGGATTCTTTTTATTTATATATCGTGTTGTTTGTTAACGTGAAATCTGCTTTTGTATCGAAAAACTCCCGCGAAACTGGGATAATCGAAATGATTTAGCCAATATAAAAGTTAATGTAACAATTAAATTTATTTTTATCACGTTTATTTATACATTACGTATACATCCCAAGATGTACGAAAAAAAAAAACATTTTAAATAGCTTCCATAATTTGATAGCAACTCACGGAAAAATGAAACTAGGTATAAAATATCTAAATATCCAACCACAATGATAATACAATGTTTACATAGTACAGTATCACTGACTGATATACAATTTGAATTCTATCTCTCTTATATTTTGACTTCAAGTTTGTACGACTACTCTGAAACACCTACTATCCATAGCAAGAGATGTTTACACTACATAGAGACTGTGTGCATGATTAAAAAGTGAATACTTACAATATCTTTCTATTTTCTGTACAGAATCGGGCCACATGCCTCCGCAAACTAAGAAAATAATTTTGATTAGACATCTACTATTACAATTATTCTTAGGTTTATTCTATAACTAAAATAATATTTACCTAAACAATCTCGAGAAAGTCCTCGTACAAAAAGAACAACGATAGCGTCGTCGGGATACGTTCTACAAAAAAATGATTAATAATTAATTCTTTATTTATTGGAAAAAGTAAACATTCTTGGTATTACAAATTCTGAATACCTTATGGGCTATAGTTGTATGTTTTTGTAATAACGCTTCCGAGCTGAAAGCTTTTTCGCATTGGAGACATTGTCTAACATTGGGAAAAGCTGAAAAATAAATTGATATTTTTATTAAACGACAGGAATTCCGACTCAAGTCATCATTAATATGTTGAATTGTACGTACATATAAATGTGTATTTCAAAGATCGATTTAGAGTACAGTTTATACGACTGATCAGCCGATCAAATTCGGAAGTAGAAAGACATCCGATTGATATTAATTTTATTAATTCAGGCATTGCTATTCGGTTTTTCAGGTTCAATGTTGCCATTTGAATTACAGAGAGGCAGTAAGACAGACCTTTTGACATGTACAATGCATCTTATCTTGCCTGGACAATATTTCTCTTAAGACGAAATAGTATCGTGGTTGCATAGGTTTAAGCGTGCGAGGTAGACGAGGAGAAATGCGTTGCACGATATTTAAATATTTGCTTTTTAAAAATAATAGTTATTTGTTAATGCAAAGTTGTTGTTTGACGCGAGTGCTTGTAGCTAGCGGAGGAGCCTAAGATTAGAATCCAATCAAAAATAGAATCCTAAGTGTAGCGAAGATTTCAAGACACGAGACGCAAAATGACTTTGCTGCCAAACGAAACACACAACTTTTCACCTCACTATAGCGAGGAAAATGGTAGATGAAAGAAAAACAATTGAACTATAACAAATAAGTTTTAATAAACAAAATTAGTTATCGTTGTCAATTTAATGTCAAGAATAATAAGAATACCTTATTATTGTTGTATATAAGAAAACCTTTTCCACGCTAACGTGGAAAAAACGTCTTAACGACAGAAAGCCTTTCCGAGCTAGTGAGGTGAAAAATATATTCTTTTATAAAATAAGCTCTTAGTCCCTTTAAGTATTTTGTTATAGCAGACGGGTAAGAAAATATCATTGAAATATCTCTAATAACAATTGAATGAAACTGATTTTTCTATAGATGAATGTATTAAAAAATTAAATTTTGCTGTCTTTTTTAATTTTTTTAAATTATACATATATTAAAAGTTTAATTCAATCGTGTTTCAGGCCCCATAATTAACTACCGGTCTCTATCTTCTGTTTTCATGAATAATAAAAAAATTGAGTTCGTATTTTTTATGTCGATAACCAATGACATTATTATCGCCGCCTTTTCAGCCTCAACCGATTTTACGTGTGGTCGAAATACGTCATAAAATTTGTATTCTGTTGGGTCTAACTTCACCTTAACTCAGACAACAGTTCTATAATGTATCAAAATACTAAGCTTATACTTTTTCATATTGCACTCTCACAATACTCGTTGAATAGCAGAACCTACAGAAGCCTCTAAAATTACTAAGCAAAAAAACTCGATATCGACGAAATGTAACACGGGCAACGCCAATAATCAAAAAGATTTGTTCCCTGAACGCTATAACTTGCGGTTTCCAAGGCGAGAATGAATAGGCATTATACTGGTGCATGCCCCATTGTTCATTTCATCGTTACTTTTCATCAGGTGAGATGATTAGTTGTTATTCGTTTTGTTCATAGGTAACCATACTATAGGTACTTGAAAAAATAAATACATAAACCATACTATACTTGATAAAATAACCACGTATTTAATGTATCCAAAGTTAGATGGAGACCGCCTATTTTTAGTCTACTCAAGATGTTTAATAAACTTATTTTAATGCGCTCGATCGTTACTGTTATTTAAAAGCAATAAATATAACGAACGTAAGACCTATTACAGAGGATCCTGGTTTGGGCGCTAGACACATCTTTATACTCACCTGGTTTTGTGTCTTTTATAATAAAGTTATTAATATATTAGTTAGTCGAAAGTATATCAGATAATTCAGGCGATCAGCGCAATTATACTTAAATACATAATTATTTTACATTTGGATGCTATTTTCATGTATAAAACACAATAATAATTAAATATTTTTTATATATGAAAATAGCATCCAAATATAAAAAAAATACTATCATAAAATGCATGTCAAAACAGAATATGTGGGTTACACTACTATTGCGCTGATAGCCTAAATTAGTAGTTTTACGCTGCAACACTGAGCCGGAAAAACAACATCAACGCTACCGGGTCCCAATTCAATCAACATTCTAAAACACTGGTCATTGTAATTCCATTGAGGGTCCGCTAGATATATGTATAATATTTGTTATTTTCCTAAAATCTAGTTGCAATGGTAGTCCAGTCTCAATATAGTGTCAGTGGAATGGTAGAGATGACATTCATTTATTCAATCAATCACTGACAAACGATGTTGCCTTACTACTATGGAAATATTCATATCTTATTTTTTATCTCGTTTAAGCAGCAATTTAGATTTCAAATGAAATGCATTTTATTTATATCAAATAATTGGTAGACGTTAAAGAGCAGATTACCAAAGAAACCGATCTCAAAAGTTCGTGGAACTACATCTATTTGCCAAGTTTTATTGACACCGGTTACCGGAAAGTGCGCGAAACCGGAGTCATCCCCTAGTTTGCCACCCTTAGAGAGGGAATATATTCTTCAAATTTAAACGGGACCACTACTGAGGCACCCTCTTTCCAATGGTTCACTAATGCCGGGAGTAATCGCTTAACATACATACAAAAAAACAGTCCAATTAAGAACCTATTCCTTTTGTTCAAGGCGGTTAAAAATTAAAAATTGCAATGGCACTTGAATAGTAGCTCGATAGCTAACCACTGACAAACCACTACTCTAAACTTTTAGCAGTATACCAAACGTACAAAACCCTTCCATTGACACTATCGACACACAACTGAAATGATTTAAAATTAGCACACTTGGGGGCAAGGCTGTTACTCTATGAGTCGTATTCTAGAACTCTACTCAATGCTCAAGTCAGGATTGCACTGGAAACACAAGTACTGGAAATACGACCCTAATGGCAGGGACTTGAGTATGATTTCGAGTGCTTTAAACCATACTCAAATCCTGACTTGAGCATTGAGTAGAGTTCTAGAATAAGGCCCTAAGACTCAATTTTATTGCCACGGTACGAAACGAAATTCTGTAACAAAATTGTACATGACATAATGAACTTTATGTCAATAGTGACACTTACAAACTAAACATGAGCCACAAAAAACAGGTCGTCTTCACAAGAATTCTCGCGGTCTCGGGAATTTCCGCAGTTATCGTATAGTTTTTTGTACCTTACGCATGTTGTAAAGTTCATTATGTTGTTGTTATAAAATTCGCTTCAATTTCGTTCTGCGGCAATGTGAATTGAGCATTAATTCCCTTACATGGTTAACCCAGAATTTCTGTGAAAAATATGACAAATCTATTCAACGAAAAAGAAATTTACTTAATTAAAAATTAAGTAAATTTCTTTAATTTTCCTTTTCACCTGAAATTTTCCTTATCACCATAAGCAACAACATCAATACAATAAATTAGTAAGCGATTGCAGAAAATCGTATGCGGAATATTCTCGACAGTATCGAATTACTAGCAGAGCTTCAATAACGATCAATGTAGTAAGAAATATTGCAATTATCGTATGAACAGAGTAGTCGCCTGTAACAAATTTTAGACTCTATTTTAAAAAGTGAAATGCTGTTTTGCTAAAATACATGAAGACCTATATACTATTAATTATGATTGGCTCTTTGCAGCAGTGTAACAAGCTATAGCCTACCAGCATCAATGAGCGTCTAGTTGGGAGAATATTCCTACACAAGTAGGAAGTCTTGGATTCGATTCCCACCAGGGGGTCTGCATGTCATTCCGAATCATGCGCAGCTTAAGTTATTAACAATGGTTGGGAAAAGGTATTCCACATATGTATTCCATACATGTATAAATATAGCTGCAAGGAGCGACAGAGAGTGTTAAAACCACCAAATATTAATTAACTATTTGTTGTATTCCGGAAATGGTTTTACTGCCTGGTTGCCGTTCCGTCAATGTGCGAGGCGCAGAGCGATACCTAAAGCTAGGGAGGGGCAGAGAATGACCATTCTCAATACTTTTTTATTCTCTGCTTTGGTAAAAGGTCAGTTATATACTGCATTTTTACAAGACACCATTAAAATTACTTCAAAATCCAACTTCGACTTCCTAGGTCAGTAGTTTTGTCCTACGATGCAGTAAAACCATTTCAACAACAATCGAGAAAACCTAAGCACTTGATAATATATTATATGTACACATATATAGATATGTACAGATATTAATTAATTAATATATGTACATATGTATGTATCTATATATGTGGAAAACAACTTTTTCCGACCATTGTTTAATAATCAACATTAGCATTAACAGCGAAGGAAAACATCGTTATGAAACCTGAATATCAGAGAAAGCTCTCAGAACCCTCTCCTTAGCGGAGGACCGCGGAAAGTTGTAGGCTTTATGTGAAGGTGACGGAGCCCACTCACGTTAGAATGAAAATTAAATATAAAATAATTTTCAAATCAGCTTCAGTAGACTGGGCTGAGAAGTAGAAATAGGCCAAAATTCAGAAAAAAAAAAGAAACTTTCTCTACTCGTGAATTTTCCGGGAGTACCCATGAAATGTGTATATGTATTTATTTAAAGGCTCACCTTTAGTTAAATCAAGGATTGGTTGTCCGCTTGGCAAATTGTGTTGCACAGCATATTGTTTGCTATATCCAAGCCTCAGAGGCACTCGAGGCATTAAAGTTTTTACTGAAATGCCATACAATTCACTGTCTTCTTCATAAAGCCATACATTTGCTGTGTCTTGCGTGCCTATTGGGAGGAGACCCAGCCAGTTTGACTTATCTAGAATATGGAAAAATAAAATCGTTAAGTTTTACAAGCCAACGAAAAGTATTTTTATGAATTCTAAATACATATAGCCAATTTCGAATGTGGAAAATACTTCAGCGACATTTTAATTTTAGGTTATGGGCCCAGTAGGCTTTCACAGATTAGCAATGAATAGATCTGTTCAATGGATGTTATTATCACTTAAACATGTGTACAAGTATGTTTTATCAGTATTGAAAAAGGTGTTATTTTATTACTTCAGACTAACCTTTATCTGACACATCCACATATGTGACACAGTGTTCTTCACGGTTGACGAAAAATATGGGTTTGTTATTCAATACCGATTCAAATATTATTTCATCAGCTTCTGCAAGGCATATTTTTGTGCATATTCCTGAAATGTTACAATGTATACTGAAAAAGATGTAGTGTTTCGTCTCTTTCGTCAACATGCTGCTCTGGTTATAATCTACAGTAACGGCCACTAATTCTTTTAACAAGCACTTCCCTGAACCTAAAACTTTAAATACGGAGGAATACATCTGCCTACCTTTAATAGGACCGAATCGCACGTGCATTGGAAGATTTCGTCGTGGATATATGACGTCACGGTGCATTCGCAGTATGGCTGGCAACACAGCTATGGCTCGAGGTGGCACTGCCCTATCTGGTATGTGGACTATAATAAAATATAACAATGTTGTCTAATATGTGATTTAATTTTATTTTTTTATTTTTTTTAATATTTTTTTGTGACCACAAAGCAGCACTGCTGGGCTCCAGATTCAATGTTAAAAGGACCCAATGCATACTGACACAGGGATTTAAGATCTTATGTCCCATCATCAGTTAGTATGCTCCAGTAACTTGCCGTATCATTACCATAAGCTGCTGTTAAATTTGGGTTCAACAAATGATGCCATGAAGTGAAATAACACTGTTTTACAAATATACTTACAATAATTTGGTATAATACAAGTTTTACTTTTGAACTCCTTAACATTTTCTTTAAAAACAATTCTAACTTTAGATTCTTTAGGTCTTTTCTTGGGTTGCACATTATTTTTGTTTGTCTCTGTAATTGGCGAAACAGTTATCATTGGGGGTGCACTGGGTTTAACCAACATTGGCGGGGCACCACATGCAACCAGTTGTTCTTTCACAGGAACCACATTAAGATTTGGCTTCAACTTCCTTTGCGGTATGACTTTGTGAAGTTCTTCATTACTAATACAATATGTTACATTTTCGTGTTCTATGCCAGCTGAAAATATATAAAAATTGTTTTAATTATTAAGGTAAAAAAATTTTTTATTAAGGTTTCCTTTAAAAACGACTTTTGCACAGCAGTAAGACACGTGATACTGTGTATAGTAATAAGACGTATATGTAATCAGCGTTTCGGTTTCAGGGGTATGGGATGCTGCTAAGATGATTTTAAATTGAATTATAGTTATATTTTTACTACCCCATAAATCAGTGAAAGGTGGATTAATCGAGTTAAATAATTACAATGATAAGTTCACATTTCGTTTTAGTAAAGATAGATAACCAAAATAAAATATTTGTAACATTTCAAATAAAAATCCATAGTAACTTGTAACATGATTTTATAAAAAATTTGCATACTCAAAATATGATGGGTGTTTTTGCCCCTTCACCAACCTTTAACTAGACTTACTAGTTACTTATGATCTGTAATATGTAATAAAGATTTTTTATTTTCTATACTTAACAGAGCAAATCCTGGAACTTATCCAGATGTTTGCTCAGTTATAGCAGGAGCAGTTGCAAAATTAAAATCATTACAATTATATTACATTGCATAAAAATATTTTTCTCAACACTTTAACTGTGCAGGACATATAATTGAATGTTATACACATATATGAATTCTGGCAGTGTATGTCACAACAAGTGTTTATATACTAAGCATTTCAACAGTTCTATGTGTGCTCTATGGGACTGCAGCTAAGGAGTTAATATTGTCAACATGTTGGACACTGCCACAGGGGCTAAAATTTCATAAATCCAATTATATTTTGCCTTAGTACCTAATTTGCTAATGTCTTCTTTTGTACAATTTTTTGAAATAATCCGAATAGAAACTACTATTAATTGTACTCACCAGGGTTAAATCGTGGTTGTTGCTGTAATTCTTCTGTAGTATGCTGCGAAGTTTGGGCAAAGTAATCATTCTTCAGAACCGCTTCCTAAAAATTATGTAAAAATGTTGACAAATTAACTCGTCACATGTGAAAGTACAGTCAACAGCACTTCAAGTTATACACTTTTGTTTGAATATTGCCTCCAGTGAAACAGCACAAGATCTATCAATGTGTAGATTGATGTGCTGCCGTCTGTATGATCATCAAAGGCGCGTGGCTTCCTCAATGATTTCGACAGCGTAGCATTCTAAAGCCATGTGGTGTCTCTAATGCATGTCTATGTTTTCATTTACTGTTTAAAAAAATATTAAAAAAAAGTATTACACACAGTGGTGGAATGTAGCAGAATTTTTGTATCATAGCATAATTAATTTTATGATTCATTATTTAACATCCAAACTAAACATGAGACAAAATCTTCCATTCTGTCACAATATAAATTGAGCCTTACAGACACCACATATATCAGTAGAAGGCATCACGGGTTAATAGTTTTATTTATGATAATAGAACAAATCATGTTGCGCACTTTACTTTGGCGTTACAAATTCATTAATTTAATTACTAATCTTAAATTAATTTAATGTCTTTTTGGTATGATTTCTTTAATTTAAAAAAAAAATCAGTATTATACCTATATAAGTAATATAAAAAATATCAGAGCCAGTACAACATTCGCACACTTTGAGTTAATAAACAGAAAAATTTAAAGAAGGCAAAATTATAGTAACACTTACATCAATCAACAGTTGAAGCGGGACAGTAGTTTCTTTAGAACCTGTATTGCAATTCGTAAGTTGGAGGACGTACAACGAACCCTCGCTTGTTTGAAAAGCAACAGACTCCAAATTCTGATTGTCGGACGCATCTTTAACACAAAAAATTCCGATTCCAAAATAAGTTAATTTTATGACGACAATGATACATAAAAAGAGTACTAACCCATAATTCCCTATTGTTCCGGACCACACATTATACACGAAAATACAATTAATAAACAATAAAATCTTAATAATCAATGTAAAGAAAAGGTACAAAATTATAATGGAAAATACAAATATAAACAAACATCTCCAGCTGATGTATAATGTAAAACAAAAGTCAATAGTTTTTTTTTAATATTAGTTTCACGGCATCGGAATAAATCAATCGAGCCAAATCTTCAATTCTTTTTCCTGTCTTTTAAATAAAACTATTAACGTGACAATGACAGTTGATGTCAGTAGTGGGCGGGAAATTTAATTTTTTCTTTTTATCTACCCAGTGGGTCGATTTAGAAACTTACGTTAACTCAGGTGTCGACCGATTCGAGTTAATATTATAACGATTTCTTTTCATTTTTATTCACAACATCCGAATCGAACGTTAATCTGACGTATTCGAAAGCGAACCGAAATGACGTCACTCCGACGACACGATTACTCGGACTTCTCGATCGGCAACAAAATACAAACGATATTATGGACCCCGATTCAGAACTCTTCGATATTTTAACCGAATCGTTTGGATATCGTTCTCGTATCGACGAAGGGCGCTTTACGAGCTATTCAGAACATACGAGTTAAACGTTTGATTCAGATGGAGACGATATCGTTATACAACAATGTTTACGGAGTTAGTCGGTGAAATAGATTTTATGAAAAATTAAAATCCTTATAACATTTTTAAGACTTTAATAAGAAAAATATAGGAATAGTCTACAATAATATAATAAAAAATACAGAAGTCTTGGATTAAAATAAATTAATAAAATTTAACAAAATCCAGACTTTATTTAAAATAATAAGAGATTTCCATATTTACATTCTTGCTTTGTAAAAAAATAGGACGTTCGGTAACTTTCATATGTATACATACCACATCAACAGAATCTAGGGATATTTTATATTTCATCAAATATCAAAAAATGTAAGAATCATTTTCTGATATAGTAAATAGAAAATGATAGGTCATTTCAAGATCTTTAAATGAACAATTAAAACATTTCGTGATTCTTTTCTTTTTAATTAAAAAATAAGTTTATAGCCGCAGATAATTAGCATGATACAAAAATTTCATGTCGTCATATTATAAAACTATTAATTTTAATTAAAATTGAAAAGCTCACAAAAATTCAATTATTAATAATCAGTGTTGCCACCTCTTACATTAATTACACATCGACATCGATTGTTCGTACTTAAAATTAAATTGTCAATATCTTGCTGCGGTACGAGGATGGGACCTCGTTCTTTGCAAGTGTCATAAAGTTGTTGTTCCGTCGTCAAATTTGGCGGGAAATCTCTCCAAGTCTTTCGATGCTCGATAGGATTTAAGTAGGGCGACCATACAGGCCAATCCAGAACTTGAATGAGCGCCGTATGGAAAGGAGCATTATCGCGCATGAGTAGAAATTCCTGTCCCATTTGGATTCTGCGTGGGACAATAACAGGCTCTACTACGTCCTCGTGGTATTTTCGTGCAGTCATGCTGCCTTGGATCCAAATGAGCTGAGTTCGTCCACCAAGACAAATTCCTGCCCACACCATGATTGTCCCGCCTTGGTATAAGTGAACTTCCTGAGGGTGCCGTAGACGGCTGGCTCTCCCTGGAGTTCTCCAACCGCGTGTTCTTCGTGAATCCGGATGAAACCCAAACCGGGACTCATCGGTAAACAGTATCGGAGGCCGTTGTTAGTCCCTCCACGGTAAATGCTCCCGAGCCCACGAAAGCCGCCGACCGCGATGCCACGTCGCAATGCTGGAACACGTAGCGGTCTTCGAGAATGAAGACCAACTTCATACGACCTCCTCCGCACGGTTTGGTCGCTTACCAGCAGCTGGTGGTCTTCCTGGAGCCTTTGTACTAGTTGCATCGCTGTGATATTGGGTTGTCTTCTGGCAGTCGTTTGGAGAAATCGATCCTGTCTCTGCTACTACGCAGATATCTACCCGTGTGCCGTTCAGACATATCCCCAATACTGCGATATCGTGACGTTTTGGCTGGTGTGTAGAGCCTCAGAAATGACGCGTTGAAAAGCATGTTCTAACATGCCCACGGCTCGTAACTTTTTATCTCGACTCAAATGACGACGCGACTTGACTCATAAAGCTCACACGACACGTTAAATTAAAAAAGAAAACATCTCTTTTCTAATTAATATCAATAAAACAATTTTAATTTTCCTTGTCATAACGGATTACTAACAATTTTGCCGCCGTATTTTGTTTTTTTTTTTATTTATATTTTTAAATTTTGAAAATAGAATAAAGAAGAGGTTTCATTACTTTTTATAGAAATTAAAAAGATTTTAAGCTATGGGTCGTATTCTAGAACTCTACTCAATGCTCAAATCAGGATTGCACTGGAAACACAAGTACTGTAAATACGATCCTAATGACAGGGACTCGAGTATGATTTCGAGTGCTTTAAACCATACTCAAATCCTGACTTGAGCATTGAGTAGAGTTCTAGAATACGGCCCTATAAGTCGTAAATAATTTAGGATTAGGATATCCCTAGATTCTGTTGAAGTGTGTTTAAATAAACATCGTAGACTATTTTCCCATCCTCTAAGATATGCATGCAATGATAATAGACTGCTTTTTTTTAAATGTTAATGTATTTTTTAACTATTTTCCTCGTATTGTTTTTCTTTAACGGATACAGGATTATTATAATTTAATATGATTTCGTTTATTTTTATTGTACGATAAAAGATAAACGAAATTTTTATTGTAAAAAAAAATATTGTACCTACAGGTGTACTTTATTTGTTTCCATCCTCTAAGGTGCACATACAAGGAGTAAAAAAAAGGTGTACACGTAGTACAAGTAGGTATAAATGTAGGAGGTACTGGTATGTGGTCAGGTATGTACTATTAGATTTGTAGGTAATAAAATTCCAAAAAAACTTGAATTTCTTACTTCCGTTATACTATATCGGACATATTACGTTATTCAAAACAAAACAAATGCGTCAATTAACCAGCTCCATTAGTAACAATCCAGTCGGAGTAGTAAGAAACTCGAGCATTTACTCCTGGGTAGTGGTAATGAGCGCAGCCATATCCCCATGATGTAACACCGACAAGTATGTCGCCTTGGTGAGCTAGAGGACCGCCAGAATCACCTTGGCATGCATCTTTGCCACCCAAGTTAAGGATACCAGCGCATAACATGCCGTTAGTGACGTCAGGCCAATCCTCAAAATTAGACTGAGTTTTAAGGTTAGCGTACCGCGCTGCGCACATTTCTTGGTTAATAATGTTTATGTTTACATGCTGCAATGTCTCGGGGTAAGTAGCATTGCCCTGTAAGACAAAATCTGGATTGGTTATATGCAACTTCTCGTACGTACCTATTTAATACAGGATATATCGCGTATCAACGTTGCGCTGTAAATTACCATCACGTCATGATATTGAACCTGAGATTATGGTTTAATAAAAAAACAGTGCTTGAAACCATCCTGTTATCGGTTTGTAAAAAGAATGAGTAGATCTAGGTATAATAATAAAATTGTGTTTTATGGATTGAATTAATCATTATTTCTGCTAATAAAGCTACCGCTTTAATACAGCGTGTAATCGTTAAGTGTGCCCAGGCGATTATTTCATAATGTCATATTATATATATGTATGTATATACAGGGTTACTGGTTAAGTCGACCTATTCCCGTTAAGGGCGT